CCTGGGCCATTCAGTTCTCACGGTCTCCCCTCAAACTCCCTCCTGCGAGGATGGGTGACCTGGGGTGAAGATGCTGAGCACCTTGTGGCCAGGAGACTCCCTCTCATCTCTCCTGCCTGCACAGGAGCAGAGCCCAGGAAAGGGCGTCCTCTGACTCTCCAGCTATCAAGTAACAGGAGGGAGGGGGGAAGTATGACAAGTCTGACCTGGGTGGAGAGGATGCTGGCCTCGGCCCTAGGGAGCCTGGGTCCCTGAACCAGCTCCAGCTAGAGACAGAAGCTGCACAGAAGCAGAACCCAAGATGGGATCAGAGGGAGGAGGGAGGAGACATTAGGAGCACAGCCTTATGCCCGCAGGGAAGCAAACAGCCCTGCCATCAGCCAGGCATCACTGGTGTGCAGTAGGCACTCCCTATGGAGCCTTGGCCAAATGACACTAGCCTTGGACTCAAGGCAAGAGCTCTCTCACCCCTCTATGAAGAAAATTATTGTGTCAGAAGGCCAGAAAGGCCCAACAGACCACTGTCTTGTGCAGAGCTCCCGACCCTAGGTTCTCAAATGGGTAGCTGGAGGCTCAGGAGGCACTGATGACTGCCCATAAACTAGACAAATGAGCATTTTTCTTGAAAGAGGGTCTGTGGTTTCAGCATTCTCAAAAAAGCCCAGGTTCCCCCCCTCAAAAAAATTAATATGTATATGTATAACAACTACTGTAAAACAAGAAAAGACACAGAACAGAGAATCGAGGGAACAGATCAGAACCGACAAGAACACAGTGATGGACAGACAAGATACAGGGCAGGCATTAGGATGAGGACACACAGAGAAGATGCAGGATAGAACCCCCTCCCGCGAGGCCAGCGCACAGGCACCCAGGAAGCTGTCCTGGCCCCAGATGCCACAGTATGGCACAGGGGGTACAACGCAGTCCAGCGCCAAGCGCAGTGGGCAGCACCTCCTCCCTCAGCCTGGCACGGGCCTCCCCACAGCCACCCTCCCCACTCTGCCTTCTGGTTCTCCTGCCTGGGAGACAGAAGGGACACACCAGAGGACCGGCCAGAGGCAGGCGACTGAAAGGACAGACGACACAGGGATGGATGCAAAGAGAGGCGAATGGGGAAAGAGAAAGTGCACAGACCCCCAAGGCCCCCACAGGGAGGGAGCGCCCCAAACTCTAGCACCAACACTCACTCCACTGGAGCTGCCTAAATCCTTTTGTAATGCCAGACGCCCAACTCCAAGGGCGCCGATACTCAGAGCACCAGGTGCCCGCCAAGCAGGTGCTGGGGGGGCTCCCTCCACACAAGGCCCTCACTGCCTTACCTTGGTGCGCCCGTTGATGACGTAGCCACCCAGGCGCCCAGCGCAATGGCGGATCACAGCGTCCACGTGGGCCATGAGGACCCCGATGCTTCGGCAGCCCGGCTCATGGCCTTCCACCCAGGCAATCTGGTCCCCACGAATGCTGCGCGGCGGGATAGCCCGCTGGCTCACCAGCTGCCCGTCACGCAGGCGCCCGCTCCGCTTCAGGGCTTCCACCTCGGCCAGCACGCAGCCACCCAGTGCCGCCCCCAGGAAGCTGTCCTTGACACAGATGCCGTAGTACCGCATGCAGGGCACGATATAGTCCAGGGCCAGGCGCTCAGGCGCGGTGGGCAGCACCTCCTCCCTCGGCCCCGCACTGGCCTCGCCATTGCCACTGCCGCAGCCCATGCTGCCCTCCCCTTCAGCCTCCGCCTCCTGGTTCTCCTGCCTGGCCCAGGACCGCTTGCTGGGTGCTGGGGCGTCCCCACCATCCTCTGCCCACTTCCGTTTGGGGGCCTCAGGCCGGGCGCCCTGGGCCGCCAGTCGCTGGCACCCCTTGGTGACCAGTGCTGCAGCGCCCTCACTCTGCAGTGGGCGCAGCTCACCACCATCCTGCCCGCCGAAGCCCTCCCGAAGGGGGCTGGCTATCGTGGAGGTGGCTGTGGCCCTGGGGGTCCCACTCCCCGCCGAGGCCTCACCAGGTGCTCCCGGGCGGTGGTAGGAAGGTAGCAGGGGACAGGGCAGGTAACTCTCCACCCCCATCCTGGCCCGACTAGGCTCCAAGGGCTCTGACACAGAACCCGGCAACTGAGGGAGAGCCTGACTCAGGGGCTGCGGCTGGCACGGGCTGTCCATGGCAGCAGCGTCTTCATCCCCCGGGCATGGAGGGCACGGCCCGGGCCCATGGTGCCACCCTACTCCGCCTCCGCCTCCGCCTCCTCCACTTGATGCAGCCGGGGGCCGGGGCAGCTGAGCCTGGCGTAGGGCAGGGTGAGGCAGGGCAGGCAGCAGAGGCTCTTCTCACGCCCTGGGGGTGCTCGCTGGTCCCCAAGTCCTCTGCTGCCCCTAGGGGCTTGGGAAAGGACCCGTTAGGGTGGCTGAAGGGGGAGAGAGAAAAAAAGGAATGTGAGAAGAGCTACAGGCACTCGGAGTGGAGGTGAAGGGTGGCAGGGGCAGTAAGAAGTCAGATTTGGCCACACGGTCCCCCAAAATCCGAGGCCACATTGGGGAGAAGACCATGGGAATCTGGGGGGGGGGGACAAGGAGAGAAGAGGCAGTGAAGGAGGCAGCCGGAGGAGCGAGGCTGGGGAGATGACCCAAAGACACAGGACTGCGGTGGGGGCTGTGGGAGAGCATCCTCAGAGCAAAGAGAAAGGACGGAGAGGACCTGAAGTAGAAAAGGAATGTTAAGAGCAGTGGGGAGCGGGAGATCTGCCTGGGGATTCCAGAGACACACGGCGGGAACGGGGTGCTCCACCAACAGAGCAAACCGGGGAGCCCAGAGACAAAGGGAATGGGGGGCCCAGAGACGGAAAAGCCGACCGGGTAGAAGCTGGGAGGGCGGGCCTGAGACAGCCGGACAGAACGGGGCGGAGGGGTCAACCTAAGCCCAACGGGAGGAAGCCCGCCGGCGACTGACACACACCCAGACGGAAGGGAGGGCCTAAGACAGACAGACAGACGGAAGGCAGCCGCGGGAGGAGGGTCCACGGCAACGGGGGGAAGGGCGGGGGAGGGTTCACGCACTGGGGGACAGGACGGGAGAAGGCGGCTCCTCCCAAGCCCCTTCGGTGCGGGCCTCCCCGCTCGGGGCGCTGCAGGCGACGGAGGCCGAGCCTAGGGACCGCTCGGACCCCGAACCCCCTCCCTCTCCCTCCCCCCATCGGCGCGCGCTCCCCCACCCCAACCCCCCAACGGCCGGCACTCAACGTGCCCGGCGCGTTCCCTCCCCCACGCCCTACCCCCACCCTCCTCTACCCGGGGTCGCCGCGCTCCGCCACGCCGGGCTGGTGCGCGGCCCCACACCCCGCCCGGCTCGCGCCGGCGCCCCGGCTCGAGCGCCCTTTTTGCCCCGTTCTCTTCCCTCCCCGAGCTCTCCTCACCGAGCTTTTTCCTCCGGCCCCGGCGCCGTCGTTTGTGCCAGCCGCCCAGCGCCGCACAGCGCGCCATACCCCGCCCCCACCTCCCGCGACGCTCCGCCCCCGCCTCGCCCGGTGGGCACGTGACCGCGCCCGCGTAGGAGACGGTGCGTGCGCAGGCGCGAGCCGTGCGGGGCGGAGCAAGGAAGTTCAGAACACCGCCCCCCAAGATAGGGGAAATGGGTCGGTCGCCAACAGGAGGCTCATTTGCATACTGCACTCCGCCCCTTATGGGAGAGAGGAGGAAGGCTGTTAGAAAGGGCAGGATCAGGGAAGGGCGGGGGGAGTTCCGCGGTTAGGCCAAGCAGCGTGGGAGGGGCATGCAAATACGGCTATTTGCATAGGCCGGCCCACCCCTAGAGTCCCGAGCGCCGGAGAATGACGCTCAGCGGGGCGGGACAGTGGCATGCAAAGGACGTTATTTACATGGACAGCTCCTCCTTCTCGCAGCCCAAGAATAGGGCTGCGATAAATGTCTGCGCAGTTAGTTGAGAAATGTATGTAAATACGCACATTAGTTAAGTAATTTACTTAAGTACTTTCTGTAACGGAGGGAAAAAAGTGCGGAACATCCCTGAGAGAGGAAGACTAGACTGGGAAGGATGCCACAGTATAACCCGCTCCACCCTGCCCTTTCGGGACAATTGTGGGAACCCGAATAAAGCAATCTAGGAAAGCTACGCAGAGTACGCAGAGAAGACATTTGTCTAACAGCCTCGGGCCTAAGAACATTTTGGGCGACCCGGCCTGGAAGGAACATGCAGATGAGGTCATTTAAATGCCCCGCCCCCTCCACCACCTACAGGGCGGCGGGGGGCCTGGGGGGGGCTCAAGGGCTCAGGCCTACCACGTGGGTAGGCTACTGCTGACTTGGGGATGGCAGAGAAGTTGGGAGTGCCCTGAGGGGGCTGCACCTGTCCCTGGCAGAGCACTTGCGAGTTTCGTCAGTTCATCAGGACACAAAAGAGATACACACCGGTCTCAAGTATGCACAGGTCAGGGTTGCACAAAGGCCCACAAGGTCCTTAGGGGCATACTCGGGGTTCATGGTCACACGCAGCTGTATCAGGGGTGCCAAATTCACACAAGACACACACACCTCAGGGACATAAACGCACAGTCACACACGCAACAATCAGACACTGCCTGGGACCTTCAAGCATCAAAGATGCATGGAGATCACCTATAGGCCTGAATTTTCATTCCCTGGACTTGGTCCCAAACACCAGCCTCATGGGTACAATCACCAAGGACACAAAGTAGTCACGAGCAACAGTGTCACACACACAATCAGGACATATTCCTACAGATGCCGTCACACACACATCACAAGCACAGCACATCAGTGCTACACAGGTGGGCCCCCAGCATGCCTTGTCACAACACGGTGAGGTTACAGACTCCGTCCACAATACCACCTGAGTCATGGTGTCCCCTCACACCACAGCCAATCCAGAAACATGACCCCCACACACCATGACACGTGGTTCTTCTTCCATCAGGGACCTCTTCTGTCTCCCCTCCCTCCCCATCCCCCCAAAATAACAGAAGCCAAGACACAGGTGTAAACAATGCTTTATGGGGGTGGAGTGGGGACTGGACAGGCCTCCAGGCAATAAATAACACGTACTCGCAATGGCGGGGAGCTGGGGCCAAATGCCTTGGTCTCAGGCTTTGGGAACTCTTTGAATATGGTTAAGGGTTCCAGGGGGACAGGGGTTAGCCAAGACAGAGGAAGCAGCAGCAGGTATGGGCTCCCCCTTCCCTGGTGGCTCAGTCTTGCCCCTCAGCCAGGCCCCACCAGGCCAGGGAAGGGGGACAGGTGGCGGGGCAGCTTCTCTGGGGCCAGGACAGGTGAGGGGCTCGGCCTCCCAGGGCCTGGATCTGGGCCCCAGCCAGAAGGGCAGGGCAGGTCCTGAAGAACGGGTGAGCTGAAAGAAAAGTGTGTGGTGAACTAAAGGGACCCTGGGTCTGCCTGGCTGGTGTCTCTGTCTCATTTCTGGGTATCTTCCTGCCCTCCTGTGTGTCTGTCCATACCTTTCTCTTTCTTCCAGACTTTCTACATTGTCTGATTTTCTGTTTCTCGTCTGCAGGTAATTTGGGGCTGTCTCTGAGGGCCTTGCATCTCCCTGTTTGTCTCAGAGAGCTGACCCCTTAAGTCTGCAGAGGGATATCTTAGTATCTAAATTTCATGTCCCCACCTTGGCATCTCTGTGTCCCTCTATGCTCCTGGATTGCCCTGGCTCATTCCAGTGTTTTCCAAACTGAGGAGACACCTTCAGTTAGTGGTTGTTGCTTCAGCTACATATAGCATTACCTGGGAGCTTCTAGAAATCCGGAAATCACTTCAGAATCTCTGGGGTGAGGCCCAGGCATCAAACTCTTTTAAAGCTCTCCAGGTGATTTCAACGTGCAGCACTGCATTAGTGGGTTGGGAAATCGGTTTGCCAAAAAATTGCCTCGGGCAATTTTTCAATGAAATAGAATAAAATAGAATAGAAAATATCAGAGGGGCATCATATGTAATAAGAGTATTGGTCCATAGAGACGGCAAGCGGACTGGTGGGTGTCAGAGGCTGGGGGCGGGGGCGGAATGGAGAGTGACTGCTTAATGAGTATGCGGTTTCCTTAGGGCAACGAAAATGTTTTGGAACATTTTCATGGCTAATGTACGCCATGTGAATTTCACCTCAATAAAAACAACAACAACAACAACAAAAGAATATTAGTGCTAGGAAAATATGTTTCAGCTTTATGTGTGTGTAACTGTATCAGATCGAGACATATAAAATGTATTTTCTCCTGCAGATTGCAGTCAACAACGTTTGAAAAAGCGCTGTCTTACTCCATTTGATTCACTGAGGGCAAACTCTGAAATGGATGCTATACTAAGCCCTCCGGTGAAGAATACATACCCATCCATTTCTACACAGCCCAGACTCTTTAAAATGGATAGTAAAAAGAAAAATAACAAACAGCCCTCATTTATCAGGTCTTTACTAAGTGTCAGGCCCTGTGCTAAGGACTTTACATGAATTAATGTAATTAATCTTCTCAACACCCAGAGGAGGTAGGTACTATTACTAGCCCCGTTTTACAGGTGAGGAAACCAAGAACACAGAGTGGTTAAATAATTTGCCCAGAGTCACGCAGATAGGAAATGACAGAATCAGAGTTGAAACCCAGGCAGCCCGGCTCTGGAATCTCTGACCTGTCACCTCCTTCCCTTCTCAGATGGGGAAGAAACACAATACTGATCAAGCGTTCAGAGCTGAATGCTTTAAAAAGTAGGGGGCAGCTGTGAGACCACCCGGCTAGAGGTAGGGACCCCATGTGGGACGCCAATAAAGGTATCCTGCAGGAAGAGTCATTTTGGCAAAGACCAGATAATGAGGGGCAGTTGGCAGAAGAAAGGAGGTTGGAGGACCAGCACGTCCAGCTGAGGCACAGCAGATGCAGATGCATGAAGGAAACAGGGCTGCCCAAAACACTCACCCTTGACTCCTCTCTCTCAAATGCCATATCCATTCATCAGGAAATCATGTTCAAAGTATATCCAAGGTCTGAGCACCTTTCCCCACAGCCACCCTGGAGCCGCCAATGGCTAGAAGCAGTGGAGGGGGGCAGGGGCGTAAAGCACAGGGGAGAATAGGCAAGACATACACACTCTCGAAGAGTTTGGGATGGGACCTCATCCTGTAGGACCTTGCAAGCCCAGCAAGGAGTGTGGACCAAGCATAGGGGAAGCAAGGCCTCCTGGAGGAGAGGGAGGAGGGAAGAGAGGAAAGGAACAGTGTTCCTTGCAGAGGGAACAGCATGAACAAAGACCCGGAGAAATGGGAAGAACTTCAGAGTATCTGCAGCGGCCTGAGTGGTGGGGGGAGGTGTGAGTTGAGGCAGGTGAGGCTAGCAAGGGCAAACACCAGGCTAGGAGCTTCGGCTCTGTCCCATGGACCCTGGGAGCCATGGGTGGTCTTAAACGGGGGAAGGACAGGATCAGATTTGTGCTTGAGAAAGACCCAGTGGCTACATCAAGAGGGGACAAGACTGGAGACAGAGACCAGGGAGGATGCGAACCTAGCCACGTCTCAGTCCCTCTTCTGCCCGCCAACAACCCCCCCCTTGTCCACCACTGTCTCCCAGCCTGACTCTGCAGTAGTCTCTCACTGGTCTCTCAGCAACCACTCCTGCCCACCCCCTCCTCTCCCCTCTATGCAGCCAGAGGGATCCTGGGAACACCTGAAGCAGGTCCTGTCCCTTCTCTGCTCAAAGCCCTCCCATGGCTCCCATCCGACCCACGGCATAACCCAGAACCTCCTATGGACAACAAGGCCCTATCCCGTCTGCTCCCCCCCACCCCTGACCTCAACTCCTTCTCACCTGCCCTGCCTCCCAATGCACACGCATACTCCCCTCCAGCCACACTGGCCTCCATGGACTTCCTCATCCAGGCCAGGCATGCCCCTATCTCAGGGCCTTTGCACTGGCTGTTCTCTCTGCCTAGAACACTCGTCCCCCAGGGACCCATATGAACCCCCCCCCCCTTCCCCATGCCCTTCCTTAAGGTCTTTGCTCAAATGTCACCTTTTCAGGGAGGGTTTCCCTCCTCATCAAAAATCTCCACTCCTCACCTCCCTACCCCCGCTTTGCCGTTATTTTTCTCCGTGGCTCTTATCTTCTTCACTGCCATGTCGTTTTCTCATATGTCTTATTTGTGGCCTGCCTCCTCCCAAGAGCATGTTGGCTCCATGAGGGCAGGGGTTGTCTGCTTGGCCCACCGCTTGAACGGGACCTGGCTCACAGCGGACACTCGATAAATATTTGCTGAATTATGACCGGCCGGGTCAGAGATCCAGGGCCGCAAGCTGGTGGCGAGACGGAAAGGACGCCCCCGAGGCCAGGACGACGGCTCCTCTCACTCGACTGCCTTTGCGTCCTTCTCTCGCTTCCTCTCACCGCCTCTCCTTCTCTATGTCTCTGTCTCTGCTCCGTAGTCCCCCTTGCCAGGACCCCGCCCCTGCCGTCCCCGGGCCCCGGGCTCCCACCTGGCTCCGCACACACGTCTCAGCAGCCACAGGGCTGAGGGGCCACGGCCTGGGCGCTCCGAGGCTGCCGCAGCTGGCGGAGGGAGGCGTCCCCGTACTGAATGCCTGAGCCCATCCTCTCGGGGTCGAGCTCGCCTGGGGGCGGGGGGCGGCAGGGGAGAGGTCAGGACTGGTCCCCTGGGGACCTCTGGGCCCTGCCTTCCACTCCCGCTCCCACTCTGGGCAGTCAGGGGCCTCACCTGAGTCGATCTTGTTCAGGATGGTGCGGGCACACTTCAGGAAAGCCTCTTCCACGTTCTCACCCGTGAGGGCGCTGGTCTCCAGGAACATCAGCTCTGGGGGCAAGGCCTCGGGTCAGTCCCCACCCGCCCCTTGACCCTGACCTGCCACGTCTCATTCTGCTCCTCAAGCCTTCCACCTCTGCCCTCACTCCAGGCCCTCGCCCAGGCTGCTGCCCTGCCACGGAGGGGCCCCTTCCCCAGGCGGTTCCCACCTACACACCTCCTCCTCCAGAAAGTTCTCCCTGACCTCCCCGCATGGATCAGGTGCCCTCCCCGCCCCCTGGGCTTCCACAGCCCCCTGTGCCTCCCCTATCCCAGCCCTGACCTCTCGGGGCTGTCACTATCTGGAAAGGGTCCTGTCTCCCTTCCCCACCCACTGGACTGTGAGCCCGCGAGAGCTGGGCCCAGGGTGTCTTTAATGCTATGTCCCCAGCACCATCTAGGACAGGCCCAGGCCCACCACAGTCCACCCTTTAGCCACATGACAAGGCCTCACAGAAAGTAAGAGACAGGACTCAAGCCCACATCTTTCGGATTGGCAAAACATCCTCCAAATCTGGAGGTTACCAACTGGTGGGGCACGGACAAACCCTGAGCTAGTAGGTGTTTGGCCAACACGAAGCTTTCAAATGAGTTTATACTCACACACCTTTTGATGTGGCTGTCGGTCCTGTCCATGCCCCTAAGGCTAGTGCCTGCTAACTTGGGGTCTACCCTGTCCCATCTCCCTTATTCACAAAACAGGCCTGTCCTCTCGGGCCATCGGAGTTTGCAACCTCCACGTTACGCCAACAGCCTGCACCGGTCAAAAGCTTCTTAGCAGCCAACATTAATCAAGCATCCAGGCAGTGCGGAGGGCTCTCCAGTGCCTGACCCCCTTAACCAGCCCATGCTACGTGAGGCAGAAGCACTGTGATTCCCACTTCCCTGATGAGGACACAGGACCAGAATGGTCACACAGCTCACAGGTGGCAACACTTGAATTTGAACCCAGACCCTCAATCTCCACATTCCCTGGCTAGGCACAGCCACAGACAGCCCGGTGGCCCACAGGCCGCAGTGAACAGCCCCCGCCCCTCTGCTGAGGCCCCTCCCCCACTGGCCCACCACAGGGTCCTCACCATTCTCCTGGGCAAAGCGGGAGGCCTCCAGGAAAGTGACCTCACGCTCAGGGTCCAGGTCTTTCTTGTTGCCACAGAGGATGACCACGATGTTGGGGCTAGCCAGCGTGCGGGCGTCCGTCAGCCAGGCAGCCAGTGAGTTGTACGTCTCCCGGCTATGGAGAAGGGAGAGAGGAGGGAGGGAGGCAGGCACAGGATAGGGGCCCCGCCCAGGCCCTGCCCCACCCTCTCAGTGCACCCACCTGGTGATGTCGTACACCAGCAGGGCTCCAGCTGCCCCTCGGTAGTAACTCCGTGTCACCGACCTGTGGGGCCAGGGGGACCCAGTCACCCCCAACTGCCCTGAGATTGCCCCCCTCTGCGGAGAGAGACTTGTGGTTCGGAGGCCCCCCCTTTACTGCTGGCCCATCCCCCCAAAAGCTGTCGGCAGTCTGGTCTCACAATTTCCTTCTCTGCTGGTCTCTCTCTGTCTCCCTCAATCTCTGTCTCCCTTAGCTGTCTGTCTGCCTCTGTCAGAGTCTCCCCCTGTCTTTGACTCTCTGTGTGTCCCTGTCTTTCTGTATCTCTTTATTGGTCTGTGTCTTTCTGTCTGTCTCTCTTATGTGTGTCTCTCTCATTCCCTAGGTCGGTCTGTCTGTCGCTCTGGCTCTGGTTCTCTCATCCTCACTCTTGATTTCTCATGCATTCGCTCCTTCCTCATTTCCTGCCATCTCCCCTTTGCCCAGTCCTGGCCAAGTGCTCTGATGACATCTGCTAGTCCCTCTCCTGCCATGTCTCAGGGAGGCACCCTTCCCAGGGTGGCCGACAGCCTGCATCTCCGTGTCACCTGTCTGGGTCCTCCTCGAACTCGGGCAATCATTCCACAAGCATTCACTGAGCACGTACTGCAAACCCAGCACACGCTGCATTACCCTTCGCCCTGTCTCGCTCACACAGCAGATCGACACACCAGTATTAACGTAGCAGCTTCTACGTGCTGGCCCGGGCCCACACCTCTCCATGGACTTGAGTTCCTCATGTCCCTCTTCTCGCTGTCTCTGTTTCTCAGACTCAGGGTTTCCACGCATCTACCACCTTGTCTGCAGCCATTTCCTGAAGACATACTGCGTGCTGAGCCCCACACGGTTCTCTCCCCTCCGCCACACACACCCATTTCTCCATCTCTCTGGCTCTGCCTGTCCCACCCTCCCGGTCTCTAGCTCTGACCTGTTTCTCTGTGTCTCTTTATCAACCTTCCCTTGCTCTTCTTCCCAGTCTCTGTCCTTTGTCTCTTTCTGAGTGTATCTCTTTTCTAGTTTCCCTCTCTTTCAATCTCTCTCTTTCCACCTCTGTCCCCTGCCCTCATCCCAAACGCCTCTTCCCAGGCACAAGTCTCCATCCCTCCAGCCATATGGGTCAGTCTACTGCAGTCTCTCCAGGGTCCGTGGGTCTCTCCCTTCGTTATGCTTCTTTCTCAACCTCATTTTCCCTCGCTACCCCTGCTCTCTCTCCAGGACCCCTGCTCTCTCTCCAGAATGCCTGCTCTCTCTGGCTATAGGCACCTGCACTCAGTCTCTGTCTCTCTCCCTCGGCCTTGCCTGCCCTCTCAATGTCTCTGTGCTCCTGTCAGATCTCCAAGTGACTGCACACAGCTCTGTGACTCCCTGTCTCCCTCTCTTTTTCTCTCCTCTCTCCTCTGCCCCTCTCCCCTGGGGGCCCGGCCCACCTACCGAAACCGCTCCTGGCCGGCTGTGTCCCAAATCTGGAGCTTCACAGTCTTCCCACCCACGTTGACCACCCGAGATCCAAACTCCACGCCGATTGTGTGGTTGGAGTCCTGTTTGACTGCGAGTGGGAGGGAGAGAAGAGGCAGTGCAGGGGCTCAGAAGATTCCCTGTCCTCCCAGGCCTCCTCAGCCTGTACAAAACCATTCTCGTTGCTGGGGTGACTGAGGATCAAGAAGGATCTAGCAAAGGCGAGGGCCAGGCAGCCAGCCCTGCCCCTGCCCCCGCCATGCCCACGCCCACAGTTCAGTGCTCCCGGGACCACTCCCAGAAACTCACACTTATTCTCAATGAACTGATGAAGGAGACATGATTTGCCAGTTCCCGCACTGCCAATCACCAGGAATTTGAAGAGGAAGTCTGAGCAGATGGAGCCAAGATCAGGGAAACCCATATGGAGAGAATGATACAGGGCAAAACATGGAAACCGAGAGACCATCGTAGTTACAAGGGGACAAACAGACACAGGCAGAAACAGAGCAACAGTAACAATAACAGACAATTCTTATACAGTGCTTACCACGTAACAGGCACAGTTCTAAAGTTCTTTACTGCAGCAAGCTCACTTATTCCTCAGAAAAACTCTAAGAGGGAGGTATAGTAACAAGTATCCCCATCTTCCAGATGAGGAAACTGAGGCCAGAAAGGTTAACTGGCTTGCCCAAGATCCCATAGCTGGGCAGGGCTGGGATTCGAACCCAAGTCAACTGGCTCCAGACTTCAAAAGCTTAGCTATTACCTTGTCAAAGCCTCTTGAGAGCCATCTTATCGAGGACTACAGCCTTGCCCTTGCCCCTCATGACTTCACCTCCTACCACCCTGGCCTTCAGTCTACTTCCTGAAAATTGCAAGCTGGTTCCCACCTCAGGATCTTTACACTTGTTCCCTCGGCTTTTCTCTACTTGTTGAAGGAATGTAGCTCCTTCTTACTCTTAAACTACTGCTGTTTCTACCGCACCCTGTCCTCCCACCTCCTCTTCATCCATCCATCCAGATTTTCCAATTCTCGGTCCCTCCGTCCCTCCCTCTACCCAAGGTACTGCCCGTTTTTAAGTTTAAGCCCCACCCCTTGCCACTAGTCCCTCCCACCACCTAATTCAAGGACAACTCATCCCCAACCCCACTGCAGACCTCTCAAGCCAGAGCAGTCCCGGGGTCCACAAGCATCCCCTCAGGGTTCTCCCAGCCCACCATCCTCAAGCCCTGCCATTCACACAGTCAGCCCCACCCCATCCACTCAGGCTCCGCCCCGACACATTAAGACTCACCCTTTCCCTCCAGGCCTGAGCAGGTCCATCAAGGCCGGCTGCCTCAAATCCCGCCCCAGATCTATTTAACCCACACACCAGACCCTCAGGCTCCGCCCAAATCGATGGAGCTCAGCCTCGGACCCACTAAACCCCTCCCAGCATCCACTAGGCCCTGCCCCATGCCAGACCCCGCCCCCTGGCACATAAGGCCCCGCCCCACTCCCCAAAGGCCGCATCCTCCCTGGGCCCAGACCCCAGACCCCGACTTCGGCCCACCACCCTCACCGTAAGTCTCGGCCATGACTCGGTCGCGGCCGCTTGGGGCCGCAATATGGCGCCGCGGCCGCGCCTGCTCCTCGGCTGGCAGCCGCTCCACTCCGGCTGCAGCCCCGGCTCCTTCCTACTCCCGGGGCCGGCGCCGCCACTTCCGCCTCCACCCCCCTACGGCGCGACCCGCTAGGGCTGCGGGATACCAGGCCACGCTTCCCTAAGGCAAGGATTGGCGAGCTCGACGGCCAGGAGGCGGGACAAAAGGCGCAGATTGGCGGCGTGAGAGGGGACGGGCTAGTGGGGGAGGGACCAAGACGAGCGATTGGCGGAGCAAGTGGGAATGGACCGTACAGAGATGTGTAGCAGAGCTGAGAAACGGATTTGGTCAGGAGTACGGGTGAAGAGTCGAGACTCTGGATTGGGTAGGAGCGGACCTGGGGGCGGGGACATGGCTGCAAAGGGGGCATGGACAGGATTGACAGAAAGACCCCGAAGAAGAGCGGATATTGAGCTGGCGAGCGCTCTTTCTGACCTCAAAGGCAAAAAAGACGAAAACTCGGGGGTGGGGGCGATACGCGCAGGCTCACCTCCCACCTCCCTTTGCAGATGATCTTCCACGAAAACCTCTATTCTGTGATTTATGTCTTCCTCATGGTCCGGTTGGCTCATTCCCAATAGTTCAACTCCCTCCCACTAGAGAGTAGGAGGGAGGTCTAGAGAGGACACTAAAACCTGCAACCGGGCTGTTCGGGTTATTCCGCCTTCTCATTTGCTTGTGTGTGATCTCTAAGCTTAGGAGCCCACCTCCGGTACCCAGCATGGAGCAAAGAGCTTTTAGTCTGTGGAACTCTGCCTAGCAACCACTGACGTTACCACAGTCAGGGAGCTGACTGGCTAAATTCAGGAACCTGGGGAAACATTTCCTTTGTTACACCTCCTTCCGCTCCCCCCGAAAGATCACAGAGACCCGCATTTTGCACTTGGCTGATATATTTGCATAAAGCCTTGAAGAAAAAAACAGCAGGGACAGTGGTAGGCTGTGTTCACTGGCAGTAGAAATCCCATTTCTGAAAAAGAGAAAGGGAAAACAATGGGGAGAAAACCAGCGGTCGCACCACAAAGGATCTAGTAGTTTTAGCAAAGGCTGTTAAGCGGCAGGGGCCAGGTTTGGCCAAACACGTGCTATGCAAATTAGCCCAGAGCCCCCTGATCTTTGCACCTCTCAATCTGACAGGGACTTAAAAATCACTCCCCATTTTACAGATAAGAAAACTGAGGCTGGGAATTTGTCCTAGCGCACACAGCTTCGCTGCCAGGGAGCCAAAAGCAGAAGTATCTTTGTCCATCATCACAACCCCAGGGTCCTCCCTCTGGATCCCTGCCAGCCCCCAAGACACTCACATCTGTCTTCACATCGATTTTGCCAGGTTTCAGGGTCTGGTCCTCACGTACAACACTACTGGGGAAATAGCCCAGGCGAGCAGCTAAATCTCCATAGTAATCTCCCTGAACCTGGAGAGGAAGAATGCAAAGCCTGGGTCTGGGAAGATGGCAAACTTGTTCCTGCTGAAGATCATAGCACTTTTCTTCTTCCTGATCCCCAGATGGCTGGCTCCATCCTTGTCACTCAGATCTCAGCCTACAGTCACCGCAGGGAGGCCCTCCCTGACCACTTGAAGTAGCCACCCAGTCAGCGTGTATTAATTCTCAGAGGAGCACGTATTTGCTGATACCTTTTGATGGCTCGTCTCCTTCCTTTAGAATAAAAGGGATCATTCGCTGTTGTATCTTCAGGGTCTGGAACAGGGCCTGGTACTAGAGTGGGTGCCCCATAATGGCTCAACAAGGTAAAAACCAAGTAGATCACAATACCCCTGGCTCCACCCCCACACCAAACTATTTCAGTCCACCCCCTCAAATTTTCCCTTTGGGTGGAAAATTAGGGTGTACTCCCACCCCAGCCCCATATCCTTTCCTCTTTTGTTCTCCCAAGACTCACACTGCCTCCCCAGAAGAGCCGCCCTCGGCCCTTCAGCTTGGAGAAGACATACACGACCTGGCCCCTGTGTATGGTCAGGAAACGGCAGTCAGGGGCCACGTAGTCCTGAAGGGCCACGGCCATGGAGATGGGGTCTGGGGAAGGAATAGAAGGGAATGACAGCACCCTCCGGATGGGCTGGCAGCCCAAGCCCCCAGGCCCCCCAACCCCCAACTCTTACAGCTGCATTCCTCATCGGCACAGAGCTTGCGGTCAGCCAGCTTGGGCATGGCGCGGCCCCCGACACTAGGCCCCGGGAAGGCAGACAGCAAAATGACACCGAGGAACACTGGCAACCCAGCCATCGTGGACTCCAAGCAAGAGAGTGACCAAGGGGGAAATGGGGTCTCCAATTTCCTTCTGCCCTCCCTCTCTCCAGCAACACAAGGAAACCTGTGTTCTTGGTCCTGTCTCCGCCCTTAACCAGTCCCAAATTTCGCCCACAACACCTAGAGGCTGCTACCCAGCCAGAACCATTTCAAGGACAGGGTGAGGGCTGCCTGCCCAAGGAAACGCCCAGATAGGCCCAAAGCAGCCCAGGCCACTCCAAGTGACAGCCACCCCCCCCCCCACCTCCTCAACAATCAGAGGCCCAGACAGGCAGGTTGAGACATTTAATCCCATCTTCTCTTGAGGCTGCTTGGGTACCTGGGCCCCTCCGCTGCCCCCTCCAAGAACAGAAAACAGGGAGCTAGTACAGAAACTACCTTGGAATTTCCTGTGCTCAAGGACAGAACAAGGCAGCCTTTTTTGATCGCCAGGCACAGCCCCCACTCTCAAGAACCAAGTGTTTTATGCTGGGGCTTACGGCTAGCAATGGTCTACCATAATCCCTATTTATCTTCACAAGCCACTTCCTGACTGGGTGACCTGGGCTGAGCGATTTCTCTTCTAAGAGCCTCGCCTTACTAAAATAGGGACCAGGAAAGCTAACAGTTATCTAATAGAGCACTCAGCACTAAATTTTATCTTAACTCAAAGGGACACTCTGCGTCACCTTAAGAGGGCTGTTATAACCCCACTCGCCACGGAAATGGCAGGGGACAGCCTTCAGAAACTTGCCCAAGGTTAGAGCCGGGGAACAGAGGGGCCAGATTTGGCTCCAGGCTCACACCCGTCACTCACTGAGCGTGGAGTTGTCTGCTGCTGAAGGTCAGGAGAAAACTGAGGGGGGATTTGAACTCAAGTCTCAACCTCTAAAACTGCGTCTCCAATGATCCCCGTGCCCAAGGTCATTCTCCTGGGTGGCCATCTCCCGGCCTCGGGCATTCTCACCTATGGCCTCAAGTCCAAACTCTTGTGAGGCGGAAGTGGATTGGGCGCGCATGGGCTTGAGGGTGGGGAAGATTGCATCAGGGGCAAAGCCTGGACCTCAGCCATTTCCACGCACCCAATACTCAGCACCGCCACCATGGATGGGAGCAACAGCCCTGCTCCAGTCACGTCTGATGATAGGCTTTCCTTGATCACCCGGGACTGTTCCCCAGCCCCATCACCCCAGTTTTGGGTTTTTTTTTTCACCCCAGTTGTTTTTATCAGAACACGGTATTTGCAGTTAGCGCGTCGATTTCATTTACCACTGCGCGTCCTGCGCCAAGAAGAGTATTTAGCACGACAGGTACTTGGCAAGTATTTGCTGAGTTTATAGTGCCTCCTGGGGGCCTGACAGTGGGTGTGTGCTGGTGGTGGTGGCGTGTATCAACCATGAATACCACAGTACTGACATACAGGAATTCTTCCCTTACACGGGAAGAAAATGAAGCTCGGAGTCGGGACATCAGCTGCTCGTGGGAAACAGCTAGGGGGTCCACCAGGCAGACAATAAAGACCAGGATCTACTGACCACAGAACCTGTGGTTGCCAGTGTGGTGGGCGAGGCGTTTCCACTTGCCATCGGCAATAAGGCCTGCCTCTTAGCAGACAACAATCCCTTTCTCCTTTCAGTCTTTCAGATCCTACAAGGAGAAAGATTGTATTTGGTGCTGTAAGTATCACGGCAAACGTGGATGATGTTCCTCTTTAACAGAAAAGAGCATAGCAGGAGCAGGCTTGGGCTTAGAGCCTTTATGGAAGAGGACCAGACAGAATTTAACGCTCTTCTCATATTTATTTTTGTGGTCAATTTTCTGCTTCTGGCAAATGATCTCAGTTTTCTATGTACATGACCTGAGAAAGGGTCTTAAGCAATATATGTATTTTTGAGTCAATTAAAAAAATTTCCAGGGGCGCCTGGGTGGCTCAGTTGGTCCAGCGTCTGCCTTCAGCTCAGGTCATGATCTCAGGGTCCTGGGATCGAGTACCCTGTCAGGCTCCCTGCTCAGCAGGGAGTCTTGCTTGTCCCTCTTCCTCTGCCCCCCCTCCACATTCTCTCTCTCAAATAAATAAATAAAATCTTTGAAAAAAAAAATTCTTTTCCAGAATCAGGTTTGTTAAGAGACTGCTAAAGAAGGTCCCTCCTTTGATCTCCCATCTTATCCATAGCTTCAGGTAGATTACATGACCGTCCAATCAGAAACTCCATTTCCTAGATTCCCCTGCAGCCAGAGGACTGCAGGACGTGGTTCAGGCACCTGCCCGAGGATCCTGGCTGGCGGGTGGCCAGCAGGGAAGATTAGCGGTGTTTGAAGTGGCCACATCCTTTGTCCCTGGTCGGTGGCTTCCCATGTGGGCCGGGCACTTCCATCAGCAGCACTGGCGCCTTCCTGAAGTCCAGACTGCAGCTCAATCAGAGATTGCAAACTTCAACTCAAGTGTCTCAAACCCAGGCTACCACTCCTTCTATCCTTCCAATGAATTCCTGAGCACCCAGTTCCCTTCCTTTTCTTCCTGAAGTATCTAGCGTGATTTCTGGGGACTGCTGCTCTGACAGAAGGCATTTTTGTGAAGATTCAAAAAAGGCGAAGAAAAACCTCTCAACACTCTAACAGGTTAGGAAAAAACATACGAATCTACAAATAGCGTCCCCTTAAAGGTGGGTGGCATCCTTGTGTAGTACACAACCTGCCCAACTGCACATGGCAGCCTGGGTTTCAATTTCCTGCTCTGAATGCTGATGGAGACAAAACAGAAATTTTTCCAAACTAGTAAAGATGCCTGAAGCTTAGACAAAGTTACTACATTATTCTGTGTTTTCCCAAG